CAATAGTCACATTGTGAGACTCGCAGTATAAGTTCATCATATCAATATAATATTAGTCAAAGGCAATATGCCATACTTATTTGGCTGATTACAGTTTTTCTCTATTGCTGAAACACGTTTTTTGGAGGAAGACCTCCTTTTCTCAAAACTACACACACACAAAGCACAAAAACACACACACAAACTGCTAAACTCAACACTTGTCTTGCAAAATAACACTCTGCCTTCAAAACAAGTTCAACATCTTCTCAAAATGGAACTTTGTGTTCAAATGACACACACAGCCATCATATGAGTAGACACTTGTAGCACCAATTGAACATTGCAGTGCAAAATGGAAAACACCACTGTCTGAATGGAAAACACTCAGAATTATACATTTGCATGTTCATGCTGTCACACTTGCCCATTTTGTAAAATACTGTATTACAGTATGTTTTGTGGTACATTCAAATATAAAACAACACATTTGCAGTAACAGAATTTTTTTTATTTTTTCATCCAAAATCAAACAAATGCGGCCACAACCATCAAAACAGGTTTACTGGTGTGCCACATCGTGCCTTTGGTTCCTGTCTGGCCACAGGACCTCATCCACATCACAGGCAGTGTTTTCCCTCGCCAGGCAGCGGGGAAAGTAATGCCTTGAATGTCGCATGAAACCTTGGCAGGCCTCAGCTGGGACATCGTCACAGGCCTCCTCCATTGCCTGGAGCAGCGTGACGCACTGCTGGGGGTTGAGCTCATACACCTTCCATCGCCATGTGGAGAAGAACTCCTCAATGGGGTTCAGGAAGGTGGAGTATGGTGGGAGAAATACAGCAGAAAACTGTAGTTACTACTACCAGCCAGCTACTGTGGCTCAAAGAACTGGTTGTCAGGTGTGATGAGGTGGTTATGGAGTGTGTCCAGGAATGCCAGGAGCAATGTACCGAAGGTGGCATGGCAATGGAGGATACCATGGTGATTCATCGCCGCACACATGGTGATGTTACCTCCACGCTGTCCAGGGACCTCAACAATGGCAGGCTGGCCGATTAGATTCCTTCCCCGACGCCTTCTTTTCACCAGGTTGAACCCTGCCTCGTCAATGTAGAGGAATTCATGGATCTCGGCGGCCGCATCTAGCCCCAGAACTCTCTGAAACAGACAGCATGACAGTATCAGACATGGACCTAGAGCAGTCAATACATGATCGTGCGAGACAATGTAAAGAAACACTGTAACTGCATCATACAGTATTACAGGTGCAATACAGTAATGTGTCAGTGCTGGATATAGGACTTACTTGCACATAGTCACGGCGCAGCTCCTTGACCCTGGCCGAATTCCTTTCAAAGGGCACCCTATACACTTGCTTCATGCGTACTGCATTGGACACGGTCCAGTGTGCTGAGGCTGACAGAGCTGATGGTCTGGAACACCACTTGGTCTTCAATCATCTTTCTTTGGATTTGTTTTAGGGTGATAGCGTTGTTCTCCACAACCATGTTCACAATGGCAGTCTCCTGCTGAGCCGTGAACACACGTGCCCTCCCACCTGCTTGTGGTAATCTTTCATTTCTGCAAAAGATACAGATACAGCAACATACATTACGTGTTGTATAGACAAAGTAGGAATGCAGTTCCCAATCTCATACGTATGTGCCATACTGTAGAACATGCTTTGCTTACAGCACAGTACAATGGTCCACTTACAAAACTATATTCTACAGTAATCATTGAGTGCTGTATTGATACAGTATGCAGTACTACATACAGTAAAGTCGAGTGAGTAGTATTTCTTACCTATCCTCATTTCTGAATGTCCTTAAGATGGATGCCACAGTGAAGCGGCTGAGGTTTGGTTGGATCCTCAGACCAGCCCCCCTCATCGTCAAACCATGGCTGAGGACATGATCGATTATCATGGCCCAAATCTCATCTGAGATGGTGGCTCTCCTTCTTCCTCTTTGTCCTCCTCTTCCTCCCCCCGCCTTGGCCTCCTCTCCCCCCATCTTGTCCTCCTCCTTGTCGACCTTTTCCGCCTCCTCCTCCCCCTCCTCCTCCTCCTCTTTGTCCTCCTCCTGCTCAACCTTGCCCTCCTCCTCCTGGTTGTTCCCCACTCCCTCCTCTCCCTACTCCTCCTCTCACCTGTACTCCTCTGCCTCTCTGGACACCTCTCCCTTCAAATCCATCCATTGTTCTCCAAACCAGGAGCTTACTTTTGGCCCTTTATATTCCTTAAGCTCTGATTGTAAACTGCTCAACAGACTTGAGTGTTTAGCACTTTGATTGGTTGTGTGTTCCATGTGGAAACAGTGAGATTTGTATTGGAAAAGAGTGTTCAAAATATAGAGACTTGTGTGTAGTGTTTTGAGAAGAGGGATGAAAAGGGAACTGAGAGCTGATGGAAATCTTTTTGTAAATATTTCCTGCTAATATTTGGGGACAAAGGACATTTTCTGTCTTAGTTTTTTGGAAATAAAGAAATTTAACGGCAATGCTCCAAATTATTTCTTGTGTTTTTATGTACTTAAGTTTTGCTTTTCAATAAAGTGCCAAAGATTCCCAAATTTCTGTCTTTTTGTGACTGTGATAATTTTGTGTAGTTGTTTTGTTTAAATAATACATAAAATAACAGCACAGCACACAGGAATGATAGTAATAATCTAACTGTGGGATGTTTCCATTAATAACTTTCTTAGCATTCATATAATGACTTAGAAAATCATTTATATCACAGTGACATGTGGCAGTTGATTTCTTTTTTGTTTTTGCAGACATTGAACAGCAATGAATGACATCTCTTTTATTCGTGTTTTGTTGTTCAATAAAACTAATGATATTCCAGAGGTCTCATTCTTTTTGTAAATGGACACATACACTTACTATTTTATGTAACAGCCCTATGAATGCTGTATTAACTATTCTCACAGAGCCTTAATGAACGTGAGCCCTGACCTGTAGCTGTTATAATGAGGAAAGATAAGATAAAAACCTTTCTTGATACCCAGCAGGGAAATTCAGTTGTTGCAGCTGCACAGGGACAGAAGTTGTACAGATATATAGAGACAGTATTAGAAAGAAATAAGAAGTACATGGAACTAAAATAAGATTATAGAAAACTATACAAGAGTGTTTGGAGACCAAAAAACAAACAAACAAACAAACAACCAAACCAAAACAAAAAAACAAGGTAAAGCAGCAGTGATGGGATTAAAGGTAGCAGAGTCAGTGAGACTCTGTTAACAGTAAACACCAGACCAATATATAATATGATTAAATAATGGTACTAATGTTTGTAGTAATATAGAGATGTAATGTATAATATAGAATGTCATGTATATACCTGTGTGACATATGAACAAAGGTATTTTTCATAAGTTAAAAATGTGAAGTTTAGGTAACATATCCGTTTAAAAGAAACTATAACCATTGTAGAAGTTCTTAAGTACACGAGTACAATGGCTGACTTTGTATTTCATTCTGACAATGACCATAATTTAATTGGCAAATCTCCAGATTTGAGCGGAAATCCCTGTGTTGCAAATTTAAAAAATAATCCAGGGAAAAGGCTCTTGAAAAAGATAAGTGAGAGAAAACATCAGTTGGAGATCAAGACATTAAACAAATAGTGAGATAATGACAACATGATTTTACTTGATGAGAAAATAGATGTGTGAATATTTATATTTAACTGTTTATTGGAATTTGTTTTAATTCACTTTTTTCTTAAATTTCCCAAAAAGCTGCTTTTTCATGGCTTCTGTTTATTAGTCACTTTTCTTTGAGATGTTCTGTCACAGGTGTCTTTGAGGGGGTTCCTGGGGGTCCCCAGAAAAATGAGGAATTGTTTATTTCTACTATTAAATTCACTACAGTAGTGAGTACAATATGAGTCAGATTAATAACAGTGACTATTTTGATCCATAGACTGTTTAAAGTAATGGACGCAGCCACGGTGACATCACCCATTGGTTTGTGGACTCCTGCTTTGAAGCCTTGAGGCTGGCATTTTAGCCGTCGCCATCTTGGGTTTTTGGAGCCAGAAGTGAGCATATTTGGTTGAGAGGGTGGAGCTGTGGAGGAGCGAGGGGTGAATCTGACTCATAAGCCCCTTTCACAATGACTGTTAAAGGCGGGAATATCCTGCCCTCATTTTGCCTTATAAAATATACAATTGGGGGGAATGGGGGAACAGAGTTGTCTGAGCAGTTGTTTATTTGTTGTTTGTTGGAGGTTCAGAGTTGTGTTAAAACATGAAATGATTTTTCCTGAAGTCAGCTTTGTTAAAGGTGTTTGTTTAGGTTTCAGGGAGCAGTGAGGCTGTTCATTGGCACAGGGGGCGCTGTCACACTGCTGACTTTACTGTGAAGGTAACAAAAGGATCAAGCAAAATGAAAAACAGCATCAGGTGTTCAAACATCAACAGAGGTGTTACATTTCTCTTGTTGGAGCACTTTTCAGCGTCCACAGCTCCAAATCAGTTCAGGAGCATTTAGCCTGTCGGACAGAGCTGACCTGATCTGATGTTTGTGATTAAGAAGCTCTCTGACTCTCTTTCTGCTTTGGCTTGATCTCTTTGCTTCTTGTGTTCATTTCAAAGTCAAACACTGTGGTAAAATATGACATGACATGTCATGGAAACTATCTTGTGTTTCATTATATTTTGTGTGCTGATAGTGGGAATAATGTGAGCCAAGACCAGTGTGTAGGCCTGTACTGAAACTAAATATAATACCTACAAGATGTGAGCAGCAGAAGGTTTAATACTCCTTTCATATGTGAACAAAGTGGAGAAAACAGAATAAAGCCCCGCATGTCTGATGTCTCTATCCTTTTACACAGGCTGAAATAACATCGCTTTACTTTCACTTTCATTCAGGTCCTATTTCATAAAGTTTTACTGAGTAACAAGTGACGCTCAGCAGAGTTATAGTGACATTGATGCTCAGCCTAAATTCCCATTGGCTCAGATGGAGGTCGATATCAGTCCCCTCCTTCTTCTTTCCCGCTCTTCAGCCCCGGTGCTCAAGGGGATAAGTTGGTGTGTGTTTGTGTCAGTAAACAAACATTAAACTCGGTATTTTATCAAAGCTTTAGATGCGACAGCTCACAATGAAAGCCTGGATTTATCTAGGCCTACTTTTCCTGAGCTTACATGGCGCCTCGGCAAGTAAATGAAGATTTTTTTTAATAGCCTAAGTTTATTTATTGTAAAACACAAAAAGCTTCATGTCTTTATATACTGTATGTATGAATTCAAGGTTCGTCTGATAGTCTTTGATGTTTATTTAAATAAATGTTTTTTAAAAAAAAATCCATTATCTTAAAGTTCACGTTAAATCCTGACTGAGCAACTTATTGATTGATCCCTACGTTTTTCTATTTAGTCATAACCTCTAATGTATTTTATTAAAAACAGCATAAGTGTATTTTCTTCCCTAACTTCCCTTTCCTTTGTGTCATCATTATTTTATACAATCAGGACCATTAATACCGATACGGTCTGATCGATATTAATGCTAAAATGGCGGCATGACTACAAAGCGCAACCAACATGCAGATAAATAAATAAAATATAAAGAAAACATAAAATCAAGTTGTTAAAATAACAGTTTATTGTCCAAAACTATATGTACAGTGCCCTCACTGAAATCAGTATTTAAGTTGTTCATGACTTTTCACATAAAAAAGTGAGTTGTGGTTTATTTAGTGCTGTTAATCATGACTTATTTTAGAAATTATGTTAAAAAAAGCATTAACTTATTTTTCCAGTCTCGAAAAACACAGCATTGTATTTTATTTAAATCCCTCTACAGGCTGCTGTCAAGGTTTTAGATTCTTATTTTCAACTAACAAGTTAGTTTTTGTTTTCCTGCTGAAGTCGAACAACTTGATTTGTTGGTACAATATTTAAAATCATTCACTAATGCATGTAAACAAAATTACTGACATTTTAAATGATACATTGCTCATTCATGATCTTTTTTACTCCAACACAAAATATTAACTCACACACAGTGAGGTAATATTGATACTTTTCCTGCACACAGAAAAACAAACATAATCAATAACAACCTACTGAACATAAATATTAGCTTCATATCATTTTAGCTCATAGTTTGACCTATATACTATATCTTCTTAAATTGTATAATATTTAAAATATACTTTAAACCATTTTCCAGAGGATAACAAAATCTGACTCCACATACTGAAATACTCATCTGCTTTAATAATGTACGTCCGTACTGAGTTTTGTTTTCACTATTGGTCTCAACAATCCAGTGTCTGCGGGCGATAGTGTTTACGTGTGTGATGTAATAACAGGGAACAGCTTTATTCTTGGACAGATTTGCAGAACAGGTTTGGTCTGACAGCTTTACACAGAATTAAGAGCAAATAAACATCAGTTCATGGTGGAGGAAATGTTGTATGGGATATGAATTCAGTAACTGATGCTAATGGAAACTGTACAGAATGAGTCCATGAGAAATAAGAGAGAACTTTTCCAAATATAGAGTTGTGTCTGTTTTCATTTTTCTGGGATTGTCTACAGTGAAATACAGAAGATTTGCTTCTATACAAAATATTTGTTATCAGAGATATTGGGATTCAAACTTAAATATAATTCTTAAGTTACATAAATCAAGATATATGGAAGTGAGGGACCCACAGAGCTGGGTCAGATATTTTCTTTCCTGGCGGTTGTATTAGAAATAATTTAAATCCACAAACCCTCTGACAACAACATAGAAATAAAATCAGTTATTACTTGAATATGAAAAATGACAACACACATAGAAAAGAGCAACACAACCCAGGTGTAAAATGTGTCAGGAGAACTGCAGCGAGTTTCAGCTTCACTAAACTCAGAGTTCAAATTTGTGATTCAAAACTTCAGGAAGAAGAAACAACAGGAAAATAACATCGTTCAGTGATGTATAAAACTGTAATTCTGAAAACTGAAATGATTACTCTTCTCACAGTGACTCACTCTCTGAAGTATTTCGTCACTGCCTCTTCTCAAGTCCCAAACTTCCCAGAGTTTGTGGCTGTTGGGTTTGTTGATGAAGTTGAAGTGGTTCGTTGTGACAGTAACACCAGCAGAGCAGAACCCAAACAGGACTGGATGAGCAGAGTCACAGAGGATGATCCTCAGTACTGGCAGAGGAACACTGAGCTCTTTCTGCGTTTCCAGCCGGTCTTCAAATCCAACATTGAAATTGCAAAGCAGCGCTTCAACCAAACTGGAGGTTTGTTTATGTTTCACTTTCTACTGATAAAATGTTGTTTATATTTTCATCCTCTGTTCTAGTAAACATGTCTCTCTCTCTGTCCGTCTCTCTCTCTCTGTCTGTCACTCTGCCGGGCTGTCTGTCTCTCTCTCTCTCTCTCTCTCTCTCCCCTTCTCTGTCTGTCTGTCTGTCTGTCCGTCTCTGTCTGGCTGTCTGTCTCTCTCATTTTTCTGATCAAAATGCGGGTTCCTAAATAGTAAAATAAAGGAACTATAAAAATAAAATAAAAATCTCTCTCTCTCAATTCAGTTCAATTCAATTCAATTCAAACGGCTTTATTGGCATGAGGTAACACTGTACATATTGCCAAAGCAAGCGTTTGGAATTCAAAATAATAATAACAATATAGGAAAACAATATTTACAATAAATTAGTTATAATCTATACTGTTGGTAACACTGTATGTATAATATGTATAACAATGATTGATTCCATCACAGTCATAGTCACATTCAATCAATCTCAGTAATACTCTCTCTCTCTCAGGTGTCCACATTTTCCAGGTGATGTTTGGTTGTGAGTGGGACGATGAGACTGGAAACATCAATGTTTTTAATCAGTATGGTTATGATGGAGAAGACTTCATATCATTGGACCTGAAGACAGAGACATGGATCGCTCCTAAACCACAGGCTGTCATCACCAAACACAAGTGGGACAATGACAAAGCTCTGATAGCAGAGAACAAACACTACCTCACTCAGTATTATCCTGACTGGCTGAAGAAGTATGTGGACTATGGGAGGAGCTCTCTGCTGAGAAAAGGTAGAGTCACATGACCTGATGTAGTTTCATGAACATAACAATCTTCATGTGTCTCCTCTGTTTCTAACCAACAGGAACATCACAGTGAATATGAGCCAACATATACAGACACACATTTTCTTTTTCTCTAATGTTCTCACCTCTCTTCATCTCTCTGCCTCCCTCTCTCTGAACTCTGTTTCCTGTCACTCTCTCCCACAGACTGATCACCACTCTCTCTTTCTCTCTGCCATGTTTCTTTTTGTCTTCATTTATCTTTCTATCTTTAATTTATTTTTATTTAACCTTTATTTTACCAGGCAGATTTGCTTGAGATCAGATGATCTCTTTTACGAGCAAGGCCTGGCCAAATGACTTTGTAACAATCACTGTCCTCCTCCCTTTCAAATCTATCTCCCCTTCTCACCTCTCTTCATCATAGGGCTGGGCAATATGGACTAAAAGTCATATCTCGATATTTTTTAGCTGAATGGCGATTCTCGATATATATATCGATATATTTTCTGTGACGTAATTTGGGTTTCCCACAAAGTATTATAGCATAGCGTCCCTGTTAGTTCAGTTTTTTTCAGAGGCAAACCCTTTAAAAAAAGGTCAGTTATAAGTTTAAGCCACATGCCAAATGTCATACAGGCACCTTTATTAACAGAGGTCACTCTGCACAATATCTTGTTCTTCTAACTGTTTCATCCTCTTGAGGGTCGCGGGGGGGCTGGAGCCTATCCCAGCTGACATCGGGCGAGAGGCAGGGTACACCCTGGACAGGTCGCCAGACTATCACATAGAGACAAACAACCATTCACGCTCACATTCACACCTACGGACAATTTAGAGTTATCAATTAACCTAGTCCCCAATCTGCATGTCTTTGGACTGTGGGAGGAAGCTGGAGTGCCCGGAGAGAACCCACGCTGACACGGGGAGAACATGCAAACTCCACACAGAGGGGCTCCCACACCCGGGATCGAACCGGCAATCCTCTTGCTGTGAGGCGACAGTGCTAACCACCACACCACCGTACCACCCTCTGCACAATATCAAAATGTTTAAAACAAATTGAACAAAAAAAATGAAAAAAATGCTCCTTGAAGAAAATAAAACAAATCCCCTCCCTGCATGACAAAAATACACTCTGTAATTAATTCGAAAATACACTGTGTTACAGTTTTAACAGTAAACAGCTTTGTGGTCCGAGTCGCAGCACGTATATGACACACTCCTCGCACTTCATGGTGCTGTTGTAAGTGGTGGAAGAGATTTGTCGTGCTCAAACCTTTACCCCCAATTTCTACATACTCCATCAGTGCTGCGCAGCTCCCATTTTAGTGAATAGCTGCAATTCCACAGCGAGCGCCACGCAGCATGTCTGGAGCGTCCCAGAAGCACCACGGCGCTCTGCTTCGTGGGAGATATGCGCCAGACCGGTTTTTGACATTATTTACAGAAAACATTTCGCTGCTGGTCATCTGACACTTTAAAACCAAACCATCTTCAAATTATTGGGCCATTGTTTTTTCGTTTACTGACCAACTCTCTCTCTCCTCTGCGGCACACTCCGTCTCCACGTTGTGGCTGAGCGCAGGTGAGAATGGAGGCGGAGGGGGAGGGGTTGTGGTCACAGAGTGATGGAGGTGGAGCAGAGAGGTTGTGTGTGTGAGACAGGAACACAGGGAGAGGGAGAGGAGAAAGAGGTGTGAACTTACAGCCCATGTATTTTCATTTTAATGTAAAATGAACTATATCAATAGAAGCGATATTCTCCTGTATTATATCGCGTTTAGAAATATATCTATATATATTAAAATCTCGAGATATCGCCCAGCCCTACCTCATCTGTCTTACAGTTTTTCTCAATTGCTAAAAGACATTTCTTGAAACCTCCACCCATTTTCTCAAAACCTTAAACACAAATCCAAAAATTCAACTACATTCACAAAATTCCAGACTTTTTGATCACAGTCAAACTAGCTCCTCAAAACCAGTTATCCTGTGTTCAAAACCAAACAATGTGTTCAGATCACACACACAGCGAGTAAAAATATATTCACCACAGAGCATTCCTTAGACACTACATAAAATAATTTAGGCAACAGCATCCAGGGCCTGTTAGCAACAGAAAATGTTTATTGTAAATGCATTTAGCAAAAAATGATCGTGGTTTCAGTCAGGGTTAGTTGTCTGGGATTCATTTTCCAACATCATGTCTTTGTGCGGGGTCTGGCCAGAGGACTTCATCCACGTCACAGGCAATATTTTCCCTTGCCAGACAACGGGGGGAAAACTCTCTGGTGTGCCCAAACCCAGCCTTGACAAGACTCCACTGTTATCATCACAGGCCTGTTCCATCGCCTCCAATAAAGTTTCCCTGGTGTAGGTCTGTCGGTCATAGACCTTCTACCGCCACACAGAGAAAAACTCCTCAATTGGATTCAGGAACGGGGCTG